TATTGATTATCTCCTTGGGCGAGGGAAACAAAAGAAAATATAAACAAATGGGACTATGTCAAACTAAAAAACTTCTGCGCAGCAAAGGAAACCATCAACAAAATAAAAAGAAAACTCACTGCATGGGAGAACACATTCACTAATGATACATCTAATAAGGGGGTAATATCCTAAATTTATAAAGAACTCAACACCAAAGAACAAACAATCCAATTTAAAAATGGGAAAAGGACTTAAATAGACACTTCTCCAAAGAGGACATACAGATGGCCGATACACTTACGAAAATATGCCCAATATCACTAATCATCAGAGAAATGCAAATTAAAAACCACAATAAGATATCACCTCACACCTGTCAGAATCGCTATCATCAATAAATCAACAAACAATAAGTGTTGGTGAGGATGCAGAGAAAAGAGAACCTTCATGTACTCTTAGTGGGAATGCAGATTGGCTCAGCTATTGTGTAAAGTATTATGAAGTTTCCTCAAAAAATTAAAAATGTAACTGCTTTTGACTCAGGCTCCACTTCTAGGATATAGCTGAAGAAACCTGAAACACTAATTTGAAAGAATAGATGCACCCATGATCATTGCAGCGTTACTTACAATAGCCAAGCTATGGAAGCAACCTAAGTGGCCATCAATAGATGAGTGGATAAAAAAGAAGGGGTATATATATACAATGGAATATTACTCAACCAAAATAACGAATGAAATTTTACACCAGGGGGGTGAGGGCATGAGTGGAGGGGTGGGGGGCAAAGAGGAGATAAGGACACATATATAATACCTTAATCAATAGAGGAAAAAAAAAAAAACCCTATCTAATAAAAGAGTAATATGTAAATTAACCATCACTCTGCAACAAAGATGGCAGCGCCCATAGTGGCTGGGGCGGGACGCTGGCGGCATTGCCCTGGCAACGCGAGCCCAGCGTCCGCACCCTAGTCACATGGGGGCCTTGGACCAGAGGCTGGGGGTGAGGGACGGTGGCGTCGTTGCAGGCTGGGCTGAGGGACCCCCCATCCCCCGCATGAATTTCGTGCACCGGGTCTCTAGTAATAAAATGTTATAAGAAAAAAAAGAAACTTTACCATTTGAGGCAGCATGGATTGACCTAAAGGTTATTATGCTAAATGAAATGTTGGTCAGAGGAAGACAAATACCATATGATTTAACTTATATGTGGAATCTAAAGAACAATATATATGATCAAACAAATTGAAACCAATTCACAGATACAGAGAACAGACTGATGGCTGCCAGAGAGAAGGGAGTTTGGAAGGCTGGGTGAAAAAGGTGAAGAGATTGAGAAGTACAAATTGGTAGTTACAAACTAGTCATGGGGATATAAAATACACCACAGGGAATACAGTCAATAATCTATAATAATAAAAGGGTAATATGCTAATTAGACCAGAAGTCTTCTGGATGTCATTCTGGACGTCCTTCCTGATGAAGCCAGGGCCAGAGGGAAGCCAGCTAGCTGGGTCCCGGGTGCCTGCAGGCAGCCTGGGGGAAGGCAGCCCGGTTCCCGGGTGCCAGAGGGAAGCCAGTACCAGCAGCCAGGGGAAGGAAGGCCTACTCTTGCACTAATTTTCATGCATCGGACCTCTGGTACTCTAATAACTATGTATGGTGCCAGTTGGATACTGGAAATATCAGGGGGAACATTTTGTAAAGTATATGATTGTCTAACCAATATGCTGTTTACCTGAATTTAATACAAAATAATATTGAATGTAAACTGTAATTAAAAAATTTTAAATATAAAAAAAACAGAAATAAAAATAAAATGAAAAAAGATTGCATAACAACTGAGAATAAAGCTTATGAAACCAATCATAAGTGAATAAAGAAATATGATAAATTAAACTTAGAATGAAATAATACAAATTAACACTTGATGATAACATGTAAATTCTCTTCCTAAAATAATTTTAAGATATTATTTCACTTTTGATTTAACAGTAAACAAAATTTGAAGGAAATAAATTATACCAGAAAACCTCTTCTCTGTGGCTAAATAAAAGCCTGAACGGTTGCATTTCCCTATTCCTGTGTAGAAAATTAAATTATTTTCAGAACCAGCAGGACCACACCATCTAAAATGGAAGGTGAAAATAGCAGTTCCAATATTTGAAATGTGTTTTGGACAGATGTAGAATCATGCCCGGTGAGCTTAAGGGGATACAATAACCACAAGAAAAAGAAGTGGTAAAGGAATTATTATTATATTACAAACCACTTGTTCTAGAAACCAAGGTAATGTAAACTGTACTTGATTAGAAGTTTAAATTTCAGACGTCATAAATGCAAGAAGTCTCAGAAAAAATCCACCTTGGTCCAGAAGCATTCTTTTAGCCCTAAGAGTTAATTTTTCTCCAGTCTCTTAGTGAAGAGGAATGGGGTATCAATGCCAGAATCCACTGACTTGTAAGAGGAAAAAACAGGTGGCATTACTACCTTCCCTTCGAGGTAATTGCCACCCTTCTTTGGCACCACCATGGTCCTAGTATTAGAAGCCATGAAATGTATAGCATCCTTGGTACAGACCCCATCCTTGTCTTTAAAAGACTTTGTGATTGAACTATGAAAAATTTTGTTGAAAAACCAAACAAAAAGAAATCCAATATAGTCAATGTTCCACAGTGAAATTGTACGTGTCTTAGGTGTGATCCATTTTCTTTCTTTCTTTCTTTCTCGCGCTCGCTCTCTCTCTCTCTCTCTCTCTCTCTTTCTTTCTTTCTTTCTTGCCGGGCCCACATTTCACAGTTTATTGCACTTTTTCCACAATCACTGAGTCCTGCCGGGCTGTGCCCAGGGCTCCGGAGGCAGGACCTGGAAGGTGAGGCTGCACAGCAAGCCATTCCCAGGAGGGCTGCCCCAGGGACCTCGTGGCCACGGTTGGGACACCCGTCGAGGACTGAACCCCACACCCAGCGCCCACGTAGGTGGCCCTCATGACTCACATCCCCGTCTCCACACCGCCTCCCGGATGCTGCCCCCAAACAGGGAATTTTCTTTATTTTATAATTAAATGCCTAAATGGCTTAAGAAGCTGCTGGCTTTGTTAAACAATCTGGAAACAGTAAGAACTTCCCCCAAATAATTAGCTGTCAAATTATTCCTCTAATAATGTCTTGTTTCCCGGTGCTAGTGTTGAAATGCCAAGGCACTCTGACAGAGAACTGAAAATTTATGCACAAGGCTTTTAAACAGCGTGACATATTGGTTTCAGAAGCAGCTCTTAATGGAAGGACAGGGCCAGCGGGAAAAGGGGGAGATAGTAATGGAGGTGCCAGGAACAATTCTGGGCCTCCTTTCTGATATTGGCATATTAATGTTAGCAAAAGGCTTCCCAACATTTGTCCAATAGTAATTAGGTTGGATTTTTTTCCAAAGGAAAGAAAACATCAATTTCTGTGTAAATTAAGAATTCCAGATACTGAAAAAAAATAAGGAAAAATATAAAACAGAAAAAAGTTGAAAAGAAAATCTAAAAGTTTGTTACCAAACAGTAAATTTTCTAACTGTAGAAGGGACTTTCTAAATCTTACCTCAAAGGCAAAAAATAAAAGTTCTTCTTTAAGTTGATGTGTTTACTTGAGTGTTAATATCTTAGTCTAAACTGCCCTGTCCAAAATGGCAGCTAGTGGTTACCCATGCTAATTGGGCAAGATTTCAGACTGATTTGTGCTATTTGTGCTATATGTGCTATACACACTCTGGATTTCAAAAATTTAGTATTAAAAGGAATGTAAAATATATCTTAACTAGTGGTCCGGTGCATGGATTCATGCACATTGAAAGGACATTAATTAGAAGAAAGATTCATGTGGTAATTACATTACTGCAAAAAATTTCATGTCAAAATAGTATATATAATATAGTATTATAAAATTAAGACACGTGTGCGATTGGCGCCAGTGAGAGCTTTATATGTATCATACATGTGCAAGTCAATGTTTATTTTTAAATTGCCAGTGTGCGTCATATATGTACCGCTAGTCAGTTAGTTGGATGGTTGGACAGACGGATGGTTGATCACTTAGCCTTATATATATATAGATATTTGCATATCAAAATTGAAATTATAACATTTCATATATACCAGATTAATTTAAAACATTATTAAAATTAATCTCACCTGTTTTACATTTCTTAATGTGGCTACTAGAAAACGTAAGAGTACATAGGTGGTTCATATTTGTGGCTCTCTCATTATACTTCTATTAAACAATACTGGTATCTGAAATGATTGTAATTGGATTAAATTCCTTTAAATTCCCTCTAGCGCTCAAGTTCTAACATGAAGAAACTACACATTTAAGCTTATACATTTTATATACAAAGTTAATTTAGAGAAACTTAGGTTAGTCACTATTTCATTATTTTTTCACACTTTTTCACCCATACCCCCCAGTGCTTTCTCATGCTGTTTTTATGGATTCCTAATAGCCAAGAAAAATGAATCTGTCTATTTATTTATAAAATACAAGTATGCAGTTCGTGGCCATTGTCAATTGCTATTTGGTCCTATTCCTTTTTGCTTCACATCATGCTCATGCATTTTTAATGCTCTGTATGAATAATGAACTCTGTGTGTGGGCTTTTCCACTTTAATATTTATCAAGCAGGAGGTTTGGAATTAGCGACTCTTAGAGACCTTGTATTTCAGTGGTCCCCAAACACGCTGGCACCTCTGAGTCACCTGGAGAGCATATAGAAAATATTCAATTCTAGGTTTCATGTCTGGAGACTCTGACTCAGTAGGCCTGGGAGGACATAGGATCCTAGACGTCTTAAGAACCTGCCCACGTCCCTCAGAAGCTCAGTGAGGCTGGGAACCAGTGGTCTATCCTACTTCCGTCATCTGTAAGGAGGGTAAAGTGAATTGTCCCCGGAGCCTCCGACCTGGAACCATGATGCGAGGCTCCTCACTACAGCTCTGTGCCATTCTGAGAGACCTTCTGTCAAACACACATTACTCACTCCTCAAGAGCTTCAGCCATCAGTATATCTTCCTTGTCAGTTTTAACATCCAACTCTGGTTCTCCACTGAGCAGAAGCTTCAAGTTATAAATAACCAGCAAAGTACCTAGTGCAAAACAGATGTTTAACTTGTTAATATTTTAACTACACTAAATATGAGTCATGGTGGTATTATCATATCTATTGATTTAAGCCTGCCCTCAGCCAAAATTCCCTTTGTACTTCAGTAAATATGCTTGGATAAGTTCCAAGACATATGTCTTATAGAAAATTCCACTCTGCCAAAGAGTGTTGAGTTTCCACATTAACAGTGCTTCTTATTAGTACTCAATTTATTATGTCTTTCAGTGTGGATTCTTAAACTTGGGCACTTTTCATAATTTGCATTACAAAAATTATTAGGAGCCTTAGCCAAATTTGTACTGCAGGTAAAGCTCTCATTGGTGGAACTACAATCAATGTACATAAGAACAAATACCAGTTTGAAAAAATTGTACAAATATGAAGTATTGCTTTTAGACCCTACAACAGGTGTTGGCAAATTTTTTTGGTAAAGGGCCGGGTAATAAATATTCCAGGCTTTGCAGGCTATATGGTCTCTGTCAAAACTACCCACAATTCAACTCTACCACTGTAGCATGAAAGCTGCCTCTGAGAATACATAAATGTGTGAGTGTGGCCATCCTATATAATAAAGAGGTGACATGCAAATTAACCCTCACACCCTCAAAAGATTGCTGCCTACGACCAGGTCAGCAGAGGGGTTAATGAGGGACGACCAAACGACTGAGCAAGCAGGCTGTGTGGGGTAACTAGGCTGGCAGGGGGGTTAGCGAGGGACAACCAAACGACTTAACAAGCAGGCTGCATGGGGCAACCAGGCCCGCAGAGGGGGCGGTTGGGGGCAACCAAGCCAGCAGGGGGGGGCAGTTGGGGTGACCAGGCAGGCAGGGGAGGGGGGGGCAACCAGGCAGGCAGTGGGGGTAGTAAGGGGTGACCAGGCCGGTGAGGGGCAGTTAGGGGCAACCAGGCCAGTGGGTGGGAGGGTGCAGTTGGGGGCAACCAGCCAGCAGGAGTGGGGCAGTTAGGGGCAACCAGGCTGGCAAGGGGGGCAGTTAGGGGCAACCAGGCAGGCAGTGGGGGCAGTAAGGGGTGACCAGGCCAGAGGGGGGACAGTTAGGAGTAACCAGGCCATTGGAGGGGGGGAGTTAGGGGCGATCGGGCCAGAATGCAGAGGCAGTGAGGGGTAATCAGGCTGGCACGGGGGTGGCAGGGAGACAGTTGGGGCAACCAGGCAGGCAGGCAGGTGAGCGATTAGGAGCCAGCAGTCAAGGATTGTGAGTGGGATGTCTGACTGCCGGTTTAGGCCTGGGCAGTCAGACATCCTCCGAGGGATCCCAGATTGGAGAGTGTGCAGGCTGGGCTGAGGGTACCCCCACCCCGTGCACAAATTTTGTGCACCAGGCCTCTGGTATTCCAATAAAACTTTATTTACAAGAACGGGGATGAAGCCAGATTTGGCCTGTGGGGGCCATAGTTTGCTGACCCTGTTCTAAAGCATAGTTAACAAAAAACAAATGCTTTATAAAGTTGTTTATAATATGAAGACAAACAGAATTGTTAGGTAAATTAAAAGAACAACCAATTTCACTTTTTTGGTAGAACTTCAGTACAAGGGAGAACAGCATAGTGGCTAAGAATTAGACTTGGGAGCAAAATGCCTGGGTCTAAATCCTGGATCAACCATGTACAGGTGCAATGACCTCAGATAAGATTCCTAGCACTGCTGAACTTCGTTTTTCTCATCTATTCAGTGGCACTTATAAAGTTCCTAAAACACATACTCGTTTAAGGGATTAAATGAATTAATTTTTATAAACCATTTAGAAAAGTATTCAGGAAATAGTATACTCTTCATTACTATTTGTAGGAGTACTTCACAATTAGAAGTCAACTAAGAGATGACATCAACTATTCTCAAAGTATATCATGTATATGTTAATAAAATGAATACTATAATTGCCCATACTTTTCTCTCTGAGAAAAAGAAAAGGATGAAAAAACCACACCACTATTAAACAAAATGCCACAGGTTAAAGAAGAAATTTCAAAAGTAACATAGGCTAACTCAGAAATAAATTTCTTGGAATTTTTCTATAAACATTACATAAATCAAGGAGTTGGAAAAAGTAGAGTGCACGTAGCTTTCTCTAAAATAGGATTCTTTTTTCTTCTTGATATAAAGAGTGGTGGAAGCCTAGAGAAAGATTGGCATTTAAAATATTACTAGACATGGTGCATTCTTCATATTCATCAGAAAGTTGGTGGAGGTTAAGAGAATGCAAAAGAGATCCATTAATTTGGAAAAAAAGTATCTACAAAGTTATTGCTAATTGCTGCAGAAACTTGGATTCATTACTTTATAAGTTACTAATTCATAAACCTGGGATCATCTCATCTTAAACGCTGCAATAAGCATCTCCTAACTGTATCTGGTACAGGGACTGTGGAGCCCTGCAGTCATAGCTTGTAGCATCCTCTTCTCACTGATATTCACCAAGTTCATGCAAGTATACACCTTTCTCCCATTGTCAGGGACTTGAAGTTATCTATGTTTGGATTCTCTTAATACAAAAGTTATATGGCTAAAACAAATGACTGCCCCCATGCAAGATGCCACGTGATATTATAAAGAGAAAAAATATGAACACATACATTAATGCCTTTCATAAGACAATGAAACAAATACTTCCATCTAAATTTCAACGTTTTTATGATCTTACCACATTTCCCATAGATTATATCAAATTGCCGCATTAATTCAGCTTCGGTTTTATATGGAGAGTACTTATAAATTATAGACAATTCCGTTGAGAATTTCTGAGGATCATCTGTGACAGGTTCTCTGTTTTTGGTTAACCACGAAGGCATTGGAACTACAACCTATTAAAAAAAACACATCAATTTACTATGAAACACACAAATAAAAACCATCACTTTTTTTTCTGTTCATAATTCAGTCTACTCGTCAGCCAAATTACAAAACCAAACATGAAGTTAAAAGTTTACTTCTCTCCTGTATTCTAGCTTTATAAGGAAGAGACGCATTATATATATGGCTTTATTCTAAAATGGTCCATTGTGAAATGTGGGGACAGATAGAATCTACTTCTGCTTTCTTTTAAAATATGGGTATAACGGCAGAAGGAACAATAGTAGCAGCATTTAGAACGTGGAGAGCAAATGACAGCATATCTAAGAAAAGCAATACAAAGATCATGCCAGAAAAGAGAAGCAGCCTGATTTATAGTTCAGAATCCACTAAAAGACTCTGAAAATGGCCCTAGCCGGTTTGGCTCAGTGGATGGAGCATCGGCCTGCGGACTCAAGGGTCCCAGGTTCGATTCCGGTCAAGGGCATGAACCTTGGTTGCGGGCACATCCCCAGTGGGGAGTGTGTAGAGGGCAGCTGATCGATGTTTCTCTCTTATCAATGTTTTTAACTCTCTGTCCCTCTCCCTTCCTCTCTGTAAAAAATCAATAAAATATATTTTAAAAAATAAAAATAAATAAAGACTCTGAAAATTATGACATGAATCAACTCTAGACCAGGGCAAAGGGGAAAGAGAGCCAGATGTGCATCCAGACACCCATCTGGCAATAAGTCCTTCCCTACCTCCACAAAGAATGGATGTTCACTTTCTGGGAAGACTGGAACAAAGTGTTTCTGAATAACGTGACATGCCAAGTAGAGCTGTCAGGGGACCTTACTGAGATGAGAGGGATTAAGTGAAAGTGTACATATTGCGTACTAAGAACCACAGATCTCTTCTCCCATTTAGCTTCCAGAAAGTTTTCAAGTAGGTCTTCAGGTAGAAGACTAGAAGTCTTCCCTGAGAAACCTGACAAACCCAGAAGGAAAGACATAAAGAAAATGATGTTGAGGGTTTCCCAATAAAACATCCAGCTAGATCTTCCTATCGTGACACTCATAGCTGCCAAGCCCCACCCCCCACACGCTCAGAGTTTTCAATAGGCATTTTTTAGACTAATCTTTAAAGTACAGCAGGCTCTCAAATGCTGTTTTGTTCAATGTTCTTTTATTACAATGTCGATGAGAAAAAACTCTCAGCAGGGGCCACTGACTGTGTGGAGTGTGAAGGTTCTCCCCATGTCTATGTGGATTTTCTCCAGGTACTCCAGTTTTCTCCCACCTCCCAAAGACGTGCACATGAGGTGGATTGGTGTGTCTGAACTATCCCAGTCGGAGTGAGTATGGGTGTCTGTGAGTGGCCCTGTGATAGAAGGGCATCCCCTCTAGGGTGGGGTTCCAAAGCCTGGAGGGCACCCATGACCCTATACTGCAATAAATGGGTTGTCAAAGAATTAGCTTGTTTTTGTTAATTTTTCTTGAATGCATGTGTAGCAGCCCATTGCCTATTCCCTAGTGCCTGCAGACTGTTCCTATACCCAGCCCCACTCAACTGTAGCCAGTGAGCATGCTCTGCTCTTGCTGGGCAATCTCACATTTCCATACTGTCCCTTCAAACCCCATTCTTATCTCCAGGCATGAGACTTTCTGTACACGATTTCTCTCCACAAACCAGCCTTTCTAGTAATAAGGTGTACTCACTCCATAAAACCCCCATATCACTGCTTTTGACAATTTGTAGCAGCAGGAACACATACTTGTTGAACAGCATTCCTTTTAAACAATTCCATTTTATTATTTAGATAATTCATATGTGTCTGCCTTATTTTGTGGCAGCGCTAAAAAAAGTCTGATGGTCAGGTGGTCTACTTCTTGTTTCCTACCTTCTACAGGGCCTACCCAGTGCTGGACAGACAGCAGTTCCTCAACATATACTTGTTGTACTGATTTATAACTGATGTTTCTAAAAGTAAAACTCAGACACTTCAAATTAATAAAATGTCTCTGGGTCATCAAATGGAGTTGCAATTATTATGGTCACTGGAGTTACAAGTTTAAGTATATTTCACATTTTGTTTCTTTAGATTTTCTATTTCAAGACTTTGAATCCAATATTCTGTTTCTTTTAAGAATGATAATCCATTTATGGCACAAGTGGTACAACTGATTTGCAGGCTTCTTCCAAAAAAAGCTCATTGTGCCAAAAGGAGCCTCTTATTTTGGGAGATTTGGGTATATAGATAATGTAAATAAAGTTCTGAAAACTTCTTAGAAGTTGAAAACCCAAGAGAGAATAAGATAGGCCTCCAATGATCCAGCCACTCTTTCTTCATCTCCCAAACATATTCCTACATTTCTAAAACATAACCAGAAAGAACTCATTATAGATTTTACCTCCTGAGATAGGAAATGAAAACAACACTGATACCATTGGAAACAAAGAAAAATCTCAACTCTTACCTCACTCAGACCTTCTCCTTCACAGAATGTCTGAGAGAAAAAAACACAGGTCATCGTTTCTTCCTTCTTTGTGAAAAGAATAAAGTCTTTTCCAATCCTCATGGACCCACTATATTAAAAATCAAGAAGGTAACAGTTTACATGTCATACACTAAAAAGGAGCAACAGGCAGGCATGATACTGTGTTCTCTAATGGGTTTTCTCTTCACAGAAGTAGCGCCACTGTTTTGCTGACCCATCACCAAGAGAGTTCAATATGATTTTCTTTCTCAAAGCAGAACAGATGGATTTGAACTAGTCCAGCCCCACACTCTTGCTTGAGACATGATTCCAGAGATAAAGATGGCCTGCGGTTGAAGAAAAGCACAATCATCTGCCCCTAGCAGTTGCCACACTGGTGACTGTGCTTGCCTTTCACTGAGATATTCTACTAAAATAAACCATGGACACAAGTAACACTTATACTAAACTATGCTTTGAGAAGTAAGAAACCACAGAGATGCAATTAAGCTCAGAAGTACAGCAGTTCCTGGGAGAAGACTCATCACTTATTTGAAAATTAAATTTTAAAATGTTGTAAAGATCAAGTCTGTAATGGGTATGGAGAGTCAACACCAAGGTAGGACTCCCAAATTTATATGCTTTTTAAAGTTCTATAAATTTGGACCATTCTACCTAAGAATGCCTTTAACTAAATATTGTTCCATTATCAATAATATATGCCTTAAAGAAAGAAAAAATTCTCACCTTTTAAGACCATTGCCATACTGTCCAATAAACTTCAAGGTTGATAACCGTTTCTTGGATGTTCCAAAGTAAATAATATCTGAGGCTTCCTCTGTAATCCACAAAAGTGTTTTAGGTGGTTAGGAATTATGAGTAGGTCACAGGGGCCAGACATCCAGTCGTTAGCAAGTCACACGTATCTCGGAGCACACAGCTCTCTTGGGTCAGCCCAGAAGCAAGGCTCCTAATCAGGCCCCATAATCTCTGACCTGCATCTTAATAGCATTATATTGAAGGAGGTCAGACAGACCCAGCCATGTGATTTTAGGGTAAATATGAGTTTAAAACACTGAAGCTTAAGTTTCCAAACCTCTAAAAGGGAACTACTTAAAAGATCATACACCATGACCAAGTGGGATTTATTCCAGGGGTGCGAGGCTGGTACAATATATGCAAATCAATAAATGTGATACATCACATAAACAGGTTGCAAGACAAAAATCACATGATCATATCAATTGATACCAAAAAAAGCATTCGACAAAATCCAACACCCTTTTTCATAACAATTATCAGTAAAGTGGGATAGAGGGATCATACCTCAACATAATAAAGGCCATATGTGACAAACCTACATCACACTCAATGGACAAAAAATTAAAATCATTTCCCCTAAGAACAGAAACAAGACAGGATGTCTGTCCACTTTCACCACTCTTATTCAACATAGTACTAGAAGTACTAGCCACAGTGATCAGACAAGAAGAAAAAATAAAAATCATCCAAATTGGAAAGGAGGAAGTAAAATCGTCAATATTTACAGATGACGTAATATTGTACATAGAAAAACCCTAAAGACTCAAAAAACTACCAATTTAATAAATGAAATTTGGCAAGTAGCAGGATACAAAATTAACATCTAGAAATGCATGGCATTTTTATATACCAATAATGAACTCTCAGGAAGAGAAATTAAACAATCCTATTTACCATCGCAACAACAAAAAATTAAGATATTTAGGAAAAAACTTAACCAAGGAGGTAACAAGACTTGTACTTGGAAAACTACAGGACATTGAAAAAAAGGAATAGAGGAAAATATAAACAAATGGAAGAATATACCATGTTAATGGATTGATAGAATCAATATCATGAAAATGTCCATACTATCCAAAGCAATCAATAGATTCCGCAATCCCTATTAAAATACCAATGGCATAACGGAGGGATTTGTATGGGGGAGAATAAACCACTTTACGAGAAAGTGTGAAGAAAGGTAGAGTTTAAACGTTTTATTTTGGTAACTCTTATGGACCTCATAGCAACCTCCCCTGCACAGAGATTTCCAAGTTGACTCCCCACCACCTTATGTCCCCCGGTTTTAAGCTCCATCTCCATCCCCAGTAGGGCTGGCACTGGCAAAGAAAGTAATTGATGTGTGTTCCTCCCTTTACCTCCCCCTGGCCTAAAAAGAACTTAAACATATTTATAAGAAAAAGCAGGCACAGCTATAAGGACTTCTGAGATATCCACAGCAGTTTCCAACTACTATCTACACATTCAGAGAAACTTCTCCAGTAATGAACTATAGAAATGATCCCTGAAAGTATAGTCTTGACGTGAATGCCGCTGCCTCCGCCAGGTCTACCGCCACCGCACACTTTGCAGTCATGGTGAGATAGTTTTCCTAGTTCTGATGCCACTGGAAAAGAGAAAAGTTCCGGTCTGTATCATCCTTCAGATACGATCACTCAACAATGATTTTTAACGCTTAGGTGGAAATTAAATGTCCAAAGTTTTTTAAAATACGGGCACCTCATTAACATAATCCTGAATGACAGCCAATCACAATCTGGGCGGTGTCAGCCCAGGAGGCATCACTCAGTTCCGGGGAGGCGGCCCCGTCCCTGGGAGCTACCGGAGAGGGCGGGCTTTTTCGTTTTTAAAATCGAGCTGCTTCCTGTGATTGGTGAAACAACTTCATAGGAGAACATATTTTCCAATGATGCATCTGATAAGGGGTTAATCTCCAAAATATATAGGGAACTCATGCAACTTTAACAAAAGGAAGACAAACAACCCAATTATAAAATGGGCAAGGACCTAAATTTAAAAAAAAAGTGGACCTCTATGTCCACTTTTTTCTCCAAAGTGGACATAGAGAAAGCTAAGAGACATATAAAAAAAATGCTCAAAGTCACTAATCATCAGAGAGATGCAAATTAAAACAACAATGAGATACCACCTCACACCTGTCAGAATGGCTAACATCAACAAATCAACAAACAAGTGCTGGCGAGGATGCGGAGAAAAGGGGACCCTCATACACAGCAGGTGAGAATACAGAGTGACGCAGCCACTGTTGAAAACAGTATGAAGGTTCCTAAAAAAATTAAATTTTCAAAAAAATAATAATAAAATAAAATACCAACGGCATATTTCACAGATCTACAACAAATACTCCAAAAATGTATATAGGACCAAAAGGGATCCCAAATAGTCACAGCAATCTTGAGAAAGAAGAACAAAGTAGGAAGAATCACAATATCAGATATTAAGTTATACCACAAAGCCACCGTAATCAAAACAGCCTGGTACTGGCATAAGAACAGGCATGTAGATCAATGAAACAGAGCAGACAACCTAAAAACTGATCCAAGCCATTATGCTCAATTAATATTAGTATTATGCTAAGTGACATAAGCCAGTCAGAGAAAGATAAGTATCACCAATAAGTATCACCAATGCTACCACCAGGATTACAACCCAGACCAGATTTGTCAAAGACCAGATCCCAGGGTTTTCATCCCATGTTCTCACTCATATGTGGAATATAATGAACAAAATAAACTGATGAGCAAAAATAGATCCAGAGACATAGAAATATGGAACCGACTGACAAATTTCAGAGGAAAGGTGGGGTAGGACTTGGGGAGGGAGAGATGTATGCATAGCCCATGGACACAGATAATACTGTGGTGAAGGCCTGGCAGGGGCAGATGAGGGGTAGAAGGGGTCAGTGGGAAAGAAAGAAACAAAGGGGACACCTGTAACACTTTCAACAATAAAGATACATTTAAAAATATAATAAAAGGGAACTATTAATACTTGGAACATAGTTGTTGAAAAATATAAATAAAACAAATTCAATAAGATGATGTATTTTTCAAACCCTGAGCACAACACATGGGACTTGATAACGGCTAATAAGTTTTAAATATTATGATTACTTGTACCACTAGTAATTTTCTATAAAGTTGGCCTTTATCAAGCCCCATGTGAATCTAAGAAGAAGGGAATAGCTTCTGGTCTGATACAACCTGGGGAGGAAGGGCGACTTGTTTCAGACTTTTATTGAGAGTTACTCTCCTGTTCTCTTAAAGGCATTCTAGAATTCTAGAGAAAAATCTTCTGGATTTCAGAAAATACATACCTCCAGAAACAAAAAGCTCTAAGGGAAACAAGAAAAGATAGAAATGAGTCTCCCAACTGGTCTACTTGAATACATGCTTTAGAATTGTTCTTGAAGACCCTGTGTCCGTCTGGGGGCACCTGGTGTGGGGTGTGTAAAAGCTACCAGATACTCTGATTGTCAGAACCAAATCTGACATTCAATCTCATGTTCTTATACAGGGTTGGATATTAGGTGAGGGTATCCACAACAATAATGTTAGCTACAATTTATTGATTGTTAAGTGCATTCTAGGTGCTATCAATATATTTTCCATGTACCACTTAATATTGATAAGCTTCCCAAGGTCACACAGCTCATAAATGCTACCACCAGGATTACAACCCAGACCAGATTTGTCAAAGACCAGATCCCAGGGTTTTCATTACATACCACATAGACTCCCATGTATGGGGCCAGGGATCAGGGCAGAGAGTCAGAACACTGAATACAACAGACATGACCCTTGCCCTCAACAACTTTATGTCATGGTAGGAGAAACAGACTGAAAGAAGTAGCCAAATAAGCAAGACCATTTCTAAGAGTGAGGGGGCAAATGACGCAAGAAATTGAAAGCTCCTGCTGTCACTTGCACCTGCTGACAGTGGTGAACAATTGGGTCGGCGCTGGGTGCCGGCAGTGGGTGCGAGAGGCGGCTCTGGCAGCAAGTGAGCGCTGGGCGGGACCAAGGTGCATGGAAGCCAAGAATTTTCAGTAACCACCAGAGGCTCGCCCTGATGACAGTGACCGGCACCCGGCCTTGGTCTTGCATCCCCGCTCACCTGCTCCATCATCCCACCACAGGCGGCCAATGCTCATGTTCCGTGCTCTGCTGCCTGCTGCAGACGCCTGCCATGTTCCCTGCATGCCCCCTGGTGGTCAGTGCAGGTCTTGGGGACTGGTTGTTCAGTTGTTCCACTGTTCGGTCTATTTGCATACTAGTCTGTTATTATATAGGATAATATGATATGATTCATGTTAAAAAATCGACTTAGGGTTTCTATATGAGGAACAGCCTGTCAGGGGATAAGACTGGGGGTGAAAGAATTTGGAAATTACTGCAGTCATTTTTTGTGGGTCCAGATTGATCTGGCTCACTGTGGAAACAGATAGATTCTATTTTCAGTCATCAGACACATTCTTCCTTCTAACTTATTACTCAATTTCTAACCAATGTTAATATAGAATTGCTCTCTCAACACTTGTGGGCTTTAAAAAAAATACTACTTTATACGTCAACTAACATGTGTTCCTTCTGAAGATCTGAATCTTTATCACTTTCCTGTGTTTTGATCATTTTGTTTATGGAGCCATATAAAATGAGTTGCTTTTTTTTTTTTAAAGAATTGCCTTAGAATGTATCACACATTCTGTTATTTATTTTAAGAAATCAGGAAAATGAATTAGAAATGGACAATGAAACTGCTTTTTCAGTGTGGTTTTCTCACAAACTCTGCTCTCTTATTTAGTTAAACTAAAGAAGCAACAATACTTTTTCATCAAAATGACCTGGAAAAATAAAAATTATTCAAAGTCAGAAGGAGAACTGAGTGGGCTATCTGAGCATTTCTAACTTGCTAATAAAGTACTCTTTGACTATCCAGACCAAGGCGGAACTTCCAAGACTCAGAAGATGATAACAACTTTACTTTGTATTCTCAGCTACCATCAGCATGAATGAGCGTTCTTTCCTCTGGTGTGAAGCTGACCTATACAGTCCCATGTTACTTGAACTCCCTCACTATTTTTAAATCTTGGCTTGTGGCATATACACAAATGTTGTAAGAATTCAGGGTTAAGCGAGTTCAGGTAAATCAAGCCCTCATCAGAGGAAATAAATAACATTTCAATTCCACAGCAAACAGGCATTATGCACCTACGTGCTGGCTTTTTCCAGCCTTGACAATACAAAGATAGTTGTGTAATGTATTGGAGTTATTCATTATGATAAGTACATCTAATCAAAGCAACTAAACCTCTGAACATGCAAAGAAAAATCACAAACTGCCAAAAACAAAGAAAGATGACCTCTACCTCAAGGTTAAGCAGAAATTTTTAAATAGCGGACAGGCTTTGGAAACTAACTGCCTTAGAGGTCTCGCAAACAATACCTGAAGGATGGTCTACAAGCAATCTCAGAGTGCAACCAGTAACCATTTGTATTCCATTCACTCCCAGATGCTTTTTTCATACAAGTAATTAGGTACCTTCTGCCTTTCATTTTCCTGGCAATACTTATTTACGCTCACCTTTGTCTTGGTTTTACATGGTTGCAATGAATTTATTCTATCAGCTGAAATATTTAAACCTAAAAAGTTCAACAATATATTAAGACTGGGATTTATTTACCCTAATAGCTCCATACCTGTTTTTGCAAAGACAGCTCGATTTACTTTTATTTATTTTACAAGTTTTATTGTTTAAAGTATTACAAATAGTTATTTTATGAGTTGTAATGCTATTCTCTCTAACAGCCAGTTAGGTATCTAGATAATTAACTTACCAGGGCTCATACCACATCCATCATCCAGGAAGCACAACATGAATCCGCCCTGCAGTTCTTCATTATCCACTGTAGGAGAAAACTGTTATTACTAATAAATATTGAGCTTAATTTGTTCCTCAGAAAGTCATGCTGCTCACAGAATTATCCGTCTTCCTCAAATGCAGCCACTGAGTTATGACAATTATGGTACAGTTATAGAGCTCAGAAAAGCATTTTGGCTACAATTTCACACAGAAAATTGCAAGGGGGGAACAATCAAACAAAAAAAAAGGCTTTGAATTACTATAAAACACCTGCACATTAATAAATTAATGACACGCCCAGCTCTGGAATGTGACTGGCCCATTAGACTCTGTATTCCCTCCCTAGGGGAGGGGAGAAAGGTAGATGGTGGTAACTGACCAACCTGTACTCCTTTCCTCCAAAGCTCAATTCCAAAGTCAAAGTCATTAAGGTCATCAATCTCTCTTCCAACTACTGTAGTTAAATCCCGTAAGAGCCATTTGAGCATGCTTCTTTTGTTATTATTATTTTTATTGCTGTTGTTATTATTAGTTTAGATTTTTTGAGTTTATAGATTTTGCTTATTTCAATATCACACTAGTCATAGGCCCAAAATTACAAAGAAATGACCAGTCTTAGAAACTTTCAGAGTTTGGACTATTAGTAAACTCAGTTTTTTTCAGTAATGTCTTTAATTACAGATTTATCCAATTTGAATATTTTACTATTTATACCAAGCACTAGAAATACGGTATCTACCAGTTCTAAATAACACCTTTTTCCCTTCCTAGGAACTGGTCAAGATGGTAAAGGCAAAGAAAGCTGCTCAAGAGCAACTACTAAATGCAAGTAGAACCAAGAAATGACTTAATACCGTCTTTGTTGTGTGTGCATTTTTATAATAAAACTGAAATACTTTCAAAATTTTCACTTAAAATTATACTTATGGTGATCATTTGAAAGCATGCCATTCCAACGTAATTTCTCAGACATCTACCATTCACTGTGGTAGTCTCATTCTTTGAAAGTTTGATGCCGTATTTCATTCTAATGTCCAAGTACCAAAAAAGGTCTTGGGAGAGGGAGAAGGAGGGGGCGTACAGGAGGCAACCGATCAATGTTTCTCTCTCGCACTGATGTTTCTCTCGGTCTCCTTCTCCCTTCCTCTCTCTCTAAAATCAATAAAAACAAACAGACCAACAAAAAAGAAAAACCATATGGAATGCATACCCATGTTTACTGGAACTAATACACACAAAGAGATGAAACATCCATGGATAAACATACTTTTAGTTTGAAATTTATAGCCCTCAGGTTATCTGAAGAAAAACCTAAGACTGGAGAGTAATTCAGGTGCCTCAGTAAACAATTTGAATATCAGCCCAATACCTAGATTAACTATGTATACCCATACAAATCCTATCTATTGGTGCATACCCCGTTTCTGGTTTGTTTATTTGTAAAAATCTATTTGCTAGGTTTATAACCATAGTACAGTTTGTTGCAATAAAAAAACCTTATAGCCTTGGCCAGTGTGGCTCAGTTGGTTTGGTGTCATCTGTGAACCAAAAGGTTGCTGGTTCCCGGTTGGACACATGCCCAGGTTTTGGGCTTGATGCCGGTAGGAGGCATCCAGGAGGCAGCAGATCAATGTTGTGCTTTCACATTGATGTTTCTCTCCCCCCCACTTCCTTCCTCTCTTTCTAAAACAAATCAATAAAAAATATTGAGTAAAAAGAAAACTTTAGCCCAGCAGGTGTGGCTGAGTGATTGTCAACCCATGCACCAAGGGGTCGCCAGTTAGATTCCCAGTCAGGGCACATTCCCAGGTTGCGGCTGGATCAGGAGACGGCCGACTGACTTTTCTCTCTCATCAGTGTTTCTCCATCTCTCTCCCTTTCCCTCCTCTCTCTCTAAAATAATAAAAACATTTTTTAAAAAAAACTTTATAAGAGGAATATTTAGTTGAAAACCAAAAAACCACAAGGTCAGGTTTTCACAAAACACACATAACCTAAAGAAAGCAGTGCCACCTTGAACACAAATCACGAAGATTCATTTCCATTTGTTATGACCATGACAAGTGAGGTACACTGGCAGTCCTTGCTTGGTGTCCTGCCATAAACACAAAATAATATAATATGTGAATTCTGATTATATCTGTTGTACTTTGTGATTCCAGGAAATTCCTCTCAACTCTTCGTTGATAACATGTGTGCTCTGAATGAAATGCAACTTAATTCTCTTCTTCCTTCTCCATTTCTAAGATCACTGCCCTCATGTAAATCCTCATGAAATCTTGCTTAGGTTATTTCCATAGCCTCACCCTCCTGCTATCCCTTCTTTAACACTTCTATAGACCGTCCTGTATGTCACTGGTGGAGTACCTTTTAAAAAGGAAAAGAACATTTCTAATTTCCCAAATGACATTGCTCAAAGTTATTCAATTGTTCACTGTTTACAGAAGAAAAAATAAAACAACTTAGTGTGATATTCAAAGTGCTCATTCTTTTGGTTCTAACACTCAGCTCTAGTCACCCTGACCTAGTCATTGGTCCCTGAATGCTTCTTCCCCAAGTGCCTACTGGCTCCATCTCTCACATCACTCAGGTGTTTGCTGGTAAATCATCTATTTAGCTGATTTCCCTTATCACCCCATGAAAAACGGCACAACTTACCCATCACTCTCTGCTCTCTTAACCTACATCATTTTTTTCCCTTTCACCACTTATCATTGCCTGGTGTTTTATATATTTGTTCATTTCTTTATTCTCTCTCACCATTAGAAGGCATGTTCCATGAGTGCACAGACTTAATCCAACATTCTGCTCAATGCTTCTCCCCAGCACCCAGAATACTTATTCAGTTCATTCATAATAGGCCCTCAGTAAACTATTACTGAATAAATGAATGAACCTGTGAACTCGTCTACCTCTATTCTTTTTCTCATGGTAATTCCTCAGACAAGAATCTTCTTTTCTTCCAACACTACTTGACAAAAATCCCACCCATATTTCAAGTCCCAGCTCTTTTACATGAAGCATTCTTTCTCTGTTTCCACCATACTCTGGGCCTCTCCTGGGCAAGAGACACTTATTCGATTTTACTCTATGTAATTCTATATAATAAAAGCCTAATGTGTAAATTGACCGAACAGTGGAACGACCAGTCACTATAACACGCACTGACCACCAGGGGGCAGACACTCAATGCAGGAGCTGCCCCCAGCCTGCAGGCTAGCCAAGGTGGGTGCCAGTGGGGACCCCCCCAACTGCCCCACCAGTCACCCCACAGATTGGCCCTGATTACTGGCCAGGCCTAGGGATCCTACCCATGCATGAATTTCGTGCACTGAGCCTCTAGTTAGATATATAAGGGAAGACAGCCTCTTCTCCACAACTTCTGTTTCCTTCTGTGTGGAATGGAGTTCAGCCAGCATTAGTAAAGAGGCCCTTTGCTATCCCTGGACTCACTTTCCCTGTGGCAGTGAGCTCACTATCTGCCTGGTAATTTGGGGAGGCCCTGCTCAGATCCCTCATGTTCCCTCTGGCGGGTGAGCTGCCTGCAGAGAGCAGCGGTCCTCGGCCCTCTCCTCAGGGCACACCGGATCCCAGAGGAAGCCTGATGCCACTGGTGGGAAGTGCCTGGTTCTGGGTTTGATCAGTGTCTGCTGGCTCTCACAACAAGCTCCATACTTCAACCTAGCACTTAAAAGTAATAAGGACTGACTGCTGTTTGATTTCTCACTTTTCAGAACATGGAGGTAAAAGGGAAGAATAATGACATTTGTAACATTTCAGATCTCTCAAGATGTCCATGTCTCTCTCCTGTGTGATCCATACACACCCACCTGCACAGGATCTAAACACTTTGAACTGAGGGCTGGTTCACAGAACCTAACCTCCTTGGCACCAAATGCTAATGAAATGAACTAGTAAGAGCAATAAATACTTGGTGACTAGAAATGAAGTTAATGAAGAAAATGTATTTGGTGTGAATTTTATAGCACTCAAACATTCATACTGCACATTCACTTACGCATTTCAAAACTGTGATAAGTTGAGATGATGTATACTTAATTATAAATACTTGCTAAGTTAACACCCTTTTAAAAATAAAACTGTTTCTCCTGGCAGACAAAGTGCTTGTTCCGAATCAGTCTGAGGCTTTCAGAAAAACCCTGAAAGATCTAATTTTGTAAAAGGTCCTGTCACAAGGGAACAATGTCACCCCAGCAGTGAACTTATCTCAACCTGGCTCCATGGGGTCTCTGTAGTCATGAAGCACTTAGATTACATTACACACCTATAGAATGTGGGTGGATTTCAAGGAATAAAATAAAAGCAAAATAACTACAGGCTTTTCCATTGGAAGAAAAAAAGAAAGCAAATCTGCTCACCTGAAAACACGTCGAGTCTTGCAGCCCCAGCATCTCTGGAAACAATATAAAATTGTCATTGCTGCAGTGTGAAATTGTTTTAAAAATTACCTGATCAGAGCTCAGGGAGTTCCCCACCTGTGGGGGGCTGGCCTGGTAGTTGCTGGCCCCCTGCTGGTCGTAAGAGAAACAGCCAGCGGGGAAGAGGGGGTTGGGGTATCCCGGCCCATGCCCAAGCACCAACCCTCCAAGTGCCAACTCCCCACCTTCTGTCTTTGGTTGCCCCATCCCAGGTTGCAAGGAAGCCCACCCTTGCCTCTGCTCCTCTCTTGGGTGCCTCCCGCTGCTCTAGCTGGGGTTTTCCCCCAGATTGCCTAGGGCTGCCTTCACAAACAATGGCAGAGGTAAGTAGTTTCAACAGAGAATACAGGGCACACAAAGGTAAAAATACTTCCTATCTGGCCTTCTACTGAGAAATATGCTGAGCCCCACCTCTACGTGATAAGATTGCTGGATGAGTTTTTCTTTTCCTCTTTCTTACTTTTCTACAATTCTCAGATATTATTTGCATGTTTTTAAAATAAAAACTTAAAAAGGGAAGGAGAAAAGGCCAGAAGATCCTAGCTTCAATATCAAGGGTGTGAGAGAAAGGAGGAAGATAATGAGGAATAAGGTCTGAGATGCAGAAGAAGGTATGTTGAGGGAATGAAGGCTCTAAAAGGAAGCTCGGAATGATAAAAACAACCAGATTCTGATGGGAAAATCTGAGTCTCTTCCCAAATTTTCATCAATCCCAACCCAAAGCTATCCCGTAGGAATCTGAGTATGTGCACTATACTTGTTCTACATGCCTAGTTTTCAAAGTTAGCCCCTTAGCTCCTTCCTCTAACCAAATGGCTTCTTCTAAGCTCCTCCTATATAGAAATTCTGATGTTACCACTGCCATTTGTTCAGCATTTTCTGTGTATCAGGTCAGTACTGAATGAAGTATTTTTGAACTATTTTTATTTTTACTATTAGGAGGATTCACTTCTAATTTTTGCCACAATCGCATGAAATGTAGGTATCATTATTTCCATTATGCAATTATACATCATTCAAAGTACCATGTATATAATAGGTGCTCAATAACTACCCCTCTACTGAAAGTTTTCAAAGAAACTGTTTCCTCACAGAAATTCTAGGCGTATAAAGGCATAGAACAATAATTCACCTTTATAATACATTAAGTCATTTTATAATAGGCTGTAATTTAGCCCAGGTCAATTTCTCTCTGAACAGCTCTGGTATTTGGCAGAGGCTCCTAACCACGCCTTCCTGTACTGCCACATATTTTCCTTATCCATTTATAGCATTCCTTTAATATCTTCCAGTTCTAAATTTGAAAACTATAGGAAATCATCAAAATCTTGAGTAAAATAAATTTTTAGGGTAACATGGGACTATATGAAGATCTTCCTTATGAGACCAACCAAGCATTTTGACTAAGTCTATTAAACAGCTCCATTTGATGTCCAATACTAGCATCTAAGCAGCGGTGGCAAAGCCAAGTGCTCACTGAGGACAGAGGAACTGAGGAGGTGGAGCTGGCCTTTAGGAAGGCAAAGCTGAAGGCACAGGCTGGTCCAAAGAGATTTTTTATATGGTACCTCCTATTTCTTAAACTTTACAAACAATTCCTTCTTTTTTTCTTTTTCTTTATAAACACTGTGTGCATTTTCACTATAAATCAAACAAACATGAGACAGGCCAGACTTGGTCAGGGGCTGCCAGTTTACAAATGCTGCTCTAAGAATTGCTTTATTGATCACATTTCTCTCACTCCCCTGAATCTGAACGCAATCTTTCTTTGCCAATCACCCTGTGCTGCATAAACTGCTCCTGTTGTTCTATTTCTTCTACATTCTGATTTTACCTGCCCTCCACTGTTGAATGAATGAGTGAAACAACTTCAGAGGAGAAGACAGTTGGTAAAATAGACCAACGTGTTCTTTCAGAGTAACAAATGTCTTCTTTCAGAGTTACAGAGAGCAAGCTGCTGAAAATGGACACTCAGTGGGATACCAAAGGGTCCTTGCTTCAGAGCTGTGGGCAGAAGCAAACAGTAGCAACCCTGAAACCCTATAGAGCAGAGGTTCTCAACCTGTGGGTCGCGACCCCTTTGGGGGTCGAACGACCCTTTCACAGGGGTCGCCTAAGACCATCGGAAAACACATATATAATTACATATTGTTTTTGTGATTAATCACATTAGAGAGACTAACCACGAATGTTCCTGAGTCTTGGTCCCATCCCTGTTTGCTCCTTCTAAGTTGAGTTCAGGGCTCTCCTAACCAATCAACTTTATTATTTTTCTCCTCTCCCGCCCTTTCTGTATAACTGTGATTCCAATTTGGTGTAAGAAGGAGTACAGGGCACTGCTGTGCAGAAAGTTCTGGATGGCTAGTGAACTGACTACATCCTGCATTTACACCCAGTCATCTCCCTTCTTAGGCCAAAAATGGGGGACAAATGCAAAAAAAGTTGGAATTCATTTGTCAACCCCTGGCAGGGAATTTAGGTCTTTCTACTGAGATCCCTGATCTAACAACTTCCTACTACTTCCTGGGGTAGACTGCTTTCTGTAGAAAAGATAGGTAAAAATCTTCCATTACAAGAAAATACAGATACAAAACAAATGCAGTGCCATATTTGATTAGCTGAAAAACACTCACAAGCCCCCACAAATACACTTAAGTGGCACTTAAACTGTTCATGAGAGTTCTTTAAACACCAGTGCCTTCGTCAGAGACAGTA